GTTTAATTTCCCATGATATATATATCCCCAAAAACAGGTACAGAATTTTGCAATATTTGATTATTTCCATTATCATATTTAAAATGATTATCCTCACTTTACAAATATTTTGGATAAGTTTATTCATATATTTTCACTATATCACTTGATTTTACTATATCCACAGTATTGAGTTTTTATTTCGTTTACCAAAGTATATGTTCCAATTAAACAATATTAGATCCAGAACTTTCTAATGATTATTTCCAATTTCACATTCACGTTATCCAAACGTTAGGAATATTTTGGAATACTTTACTTTTTCTTTTCACTTTATCACTACATTGGACTATATCCACTATATGAATTTAACATTTTGTTTCATTTCCATGATATATATCCCATTTAAACAGGTGAATCACTTTTATAATATATCCCAAAATTTATAATAAATGTTTTCAAAATTGCATTTAAAGCCACAGACACATGTTGAAATTATTTCTCCTTCTTGCATTCAAGTTTTGATTTTTTATAACCTTTTAGATAACTTAATCCATATTATGCAAATTGAATTTCCTTGAGTGAACACAGTTTTTTTTGCACAAAAGTCCTCTTATAATAGATTTCAAAGAAAAACACTGCAAGGTATACTCCAATATTATTATGAATTTTACATGTACATCATCATGTTAAAGCCACACAACACATTTTGAATGAATTAATTCCCTCTTGATACCTTCATGTCAATCCATTCGTGGAAAAAACAAGTCACATTTCATGAAGCAAAATTACTATAAAAAGGCATCTGAGAAGTGAATTCAAATAAAATGAATCCAATATGTTATGCACATTGATTCCATCAAATATCATAATCCAAAATATAAATCTTGAAGGGACATTATAAAGAAATGCACAACATATAATCCATCTGAAAATTGAAACTGAAAACACCTGAATAGCTATTTCTTGTTTCACTGACAACTGGACAATACAATGTATGAGGGTTAAAGATTTAAAGAATCATTTATTATGTAAAAACAGTTTCAATTTTCATACATATTAATATGCAGTTTATAAAATATTTTACTGATTAAGATTTTTTGGTAAATTTCAGAAATATTATCAATACTGAGGATTTAAAACAATGAAAACCAAAAATATTTCTATCCTTTCAATTTTTTGATAGAATAATCCTAAGTCAAGAAAAACTTCATGAAAAAAGCATGCTGAAATTTTGGGTTAGGTGAATAAAAAACTGTACAGGTAACATCAAGGTAGATTTAAATCTAACAATACCAACTGGTCAATTTAAATGTCCGTATTGTATTGTCAATGTTTCAATCTGGTTGAACAATAGGTACAGGTAAACAGTAACACCCATAGTCAAGTCACAGTAAGAAACTTACATGCCACTTATCGCTCACAGTTGATCAAATGTTTTTAAAAAAGTCAAATTCATTTAAAATGTTTTTAATATGTAAGTAATCATTAGGTGTGTTAATTTTCTATTATTTCTAAAACTGTCTCGGTGGTCTAGTGGTTGCATGTTCGCCTTGAGTGACTTTAAAATTGCTATTTGCTGCTTCTCCGCTAAGCAGGTGGCATTAAGGAGTAAGAGCAAAGACTGGTTGGCTGGGAGTCAGAATAATGTGTCCAGGTAAGGTGACATGTCTTCCTGCGGACTGTTACCTTGTGAACTAGCATGTTAAAAATCTGGCTCAGTGTGTTGATCTAGTACAAAGTAGTGTTAATATTACATTAACATGTTCTTGTCCTGAATATATTATATTAATTTGCAGCTGGACATTATGCAGCCATCCATCATCATCATCTATTATTTCTGTTTTGTTAAAAATCTGGGTAGATCAGTAATGAACTCGGCCATCAATAGATTACCTATGAATAGACTATTCCATTCAAGTTAGGGGTATACTTGTTGATAGACTATTCCATTCAAGTTAAATCTTCATGGAAGAGAAGACTTGTAATAATCAAAAGACAGTGTCCAGAGCAATAAAAAATTGCATTTGTCTGTGTATTACTTGTAATTGGACTTGGTTGGTTTTTTTTACTTTTCACTTTTAGTTATTTTGGCCATTATTTAAAGTGCAAAAACTATAATTAGATTGAATTAAATAGGGAATACATATGCAGTTGAATTATTTTTGAGAAAGAATACTTATATCAATTGAAACAATGGCAATCGTATCCCTCAGAGCGATCAAGCTCTTTGATTTTTACAGTTAACATTCAGATTTAGTCTGAGGCAAAATTTTGAATATTTATTTCATTTTTAACCGAAGGAAAATAATCAGATATTGATTTGGTGATGTATGGCGGGCGACTGCCAAACATTGTCCATTCAATAACTTGAAAAGGCTTTGACGAAATCTTTTCAAATTTATATATGTTGTTTCCTGTGACTAAATGAAGATCAAGTTTGATTTTCACGATTTTAGCTTTTATCATTGTTGAGTTGTAGACCTTTAAATTGTGAAAAGTGATATTTAAAACCTTACTTTTTAAATTACTTAGATTGATTTTGGCCTTTCCATTTCTGAACCCTACAAAAATTCATTTATTTTTTTACTTGATCTTGTTTGAGGGTCCAGATTTGCAAATATCATCATGCCCCTTTATAACTTGGAAAATTGCTAATTTTTTATGCCCCCGCCGTAGCGGTGATGGCATTAAGTTTTACCCTTGTCCGTCTGTATGTACGTACGTCCGTACGTCCCAAAATTGGTTTCCGTTCTCTAACTTGAGTTTGCCTCAACCAAATGTTATGAAACTTATACACAATGCTTATTACCACAAAACACAGATCAAGTTTGAATTTTGGTGGCGTCACTTAAACCGTTCTAGAGTTATGCTCCTTTATAAATGGGAAAATTGCAAAAAAATTATTTTATTCTAAATATCAAGTAATTTTTAAAAATTTGAGTTATCTTCCTTTGTCCATGATTATAGTTGAATCAACTACAAACAATGCTTTATACAATGCAATGTTTAATTTTGACTTCCACTGATAAAACACAGATCAAGTTGAATTTGGGTAGTATCACTTTAACCATTATTGAATTATGCCCCTTTATTAATCGAAAGATTGCAAAAATTTTAGTTTCCATTCTGTAACTTAAGTTTGCCCCAACCAAACATTATGAAACCTATACACAATATTCATTATCACAAAACTAAGATCAAGTACAAATTTTTTGTTTCCGTTTTCTAACTTAAGTTTGCATCAACCAAATGTTATGAAACTTATACACAATGCTTATTACTACATAATACAGATTAAGTACGAAATTTGGTGGCGACACTTTTACCATTCTTGATTTATGTCCCTTTATAAACATAAAAATTGCTGAATTTTTAGCTCACTGGGGCCCTTCGGGCCCCATGTGAGCTTATGCCATCACTTGGCGTCCGTCGTCGTCGTAAACTATTTCAAAAATCTTCTCCTCTGAAACTACTGGGCCAAATACCTTCAAACTTTAACTAACTGTTCTTTAGGGTATATAGTTTATAAATTGTATCCGAAGTTTTGATCCATCGACAAACATGGCCGCCATTGCTAAAAATAGAACATAGGGGTCAAATGCAGTTTTTGGCTTATATCTCAAAAACTAAAGCTTTTAGAGCAAATATGACAGGGGTAAAATTGTTCAGTTGGTCAAGATCTATCAGCTCTGAAATTTTCAGATGAATCAAACAACCCATTGTTGGGTTGCTGCCACCGAATTGGTAGAAATTTTGCAGTTTTTTGTTATTATTTTGAATATTTTTTAGATATATATAAACTGTAAGCAGCAATAATGTTCAGCAAAGTAAGATCTACAAAAAAGTTAATATGACCAAAATTGTCAATTGACTCCTTAAGGAGTTATTGCCCTTTAAAGACAATTTTACACAATTTGTTCATCAAGTTTTCTAATATTTAAAAATCTTCTCCTCTGAAATGCAGATGAGCGATTCAGGCTCTTGAGAGCCTCTTGTTTAGTTTGTCTCAACCAAATGTTATAAAACTTATACACAACCGTTCTAGAGTTATGCGTGTTTACAAATAGAAAAATTGCTGAATTTTTAGTTTCTGTTCTCATTATTAAACCTATACACAATATTCATTACCACAAAGAATTAAACTAAGATCAAGTACAATTTTTTTGTTTCCGTTTTCTAACTTTAGTTTGCCTCAACCAAATTTTATGAGACTTACACACACATTGCTTATTACCACAAAACTCAGATCAAGTTCAATTTTGGGTAGCGTCACTTTTACTGTTCTTCAGTTATGTCCCTTTATAACTATATGATATGCAAGCGGAGGCATCATCTGTGTCCACATGTGGACACTATCCACATTTATTTGTTTCTGCACTGTAACTTTGTGTTCGTTTGTTCGTCTCATCCAAATTTTATGAAACTCATACACAATGCTCAGAACCACAACACGCATACAGTGTTTGAATTTGAGCAGTGAGTCATTTACCATTCTAGAATCATGCCCCTTCTTAAATTGGAAAATTGCAAAGCTTGAGCAGGGGCATTCGTATCTTAGACACATTCTTCTTTTATTAAGGATTAAGAAATAATGTCAGAAGCAAACATTTGAAAATATATGTTTTTTTCATTTTCAGTATTTTTCTGATGGATGGACTTAGTTTTTTACAGTTTACATTTACAGAAAGTCTTGGATTGAATTTTATTTACATGATAAATTTTGTAAACCTTGATGGATTGTTATAAAATTTGGATAGAAGCTGATCTTCAAGACCAAGAAATAGCATCTAAAGAAAAAATTCTGTATTTGACTGATAAATGAACTCACTTTTTAAGTCAACATTACAATTTTACGTTGACAGCACCAATTGCAGGCGAGACAAAGGGTTCCATAGAACCCCTTACAATTAAAAAAAAATGGTTCTTATGGAAAAATATTTTTTAGGTTTAAAAATTTGATATCCTTGGTTTGTTTTACTATTCAATAGCCATAAATGCTATGTATGATTTTATTTCAGAATAAAACATCGTACGACTCTACTGGTTGTTGCCAAACATGCAAGGTTACTATTAAGCGTAAGTTTATATCATCTCACCTATATATATTAATATGTCATTTCTGGTTTTATAATATTGTTGGGTTATTTCTCATAAATGTATGCCTCATATCTCCTTTTATTCCTATTTCTAAAGTGGGCTTTCTTAAATGAATTGTGAATAAAACTCATTTTTCATAACAAAATGTTTGTACATGTACCATTATCTGACTGAATGTTTTTTCCAATTAACAAACATTTTCAGTCATGAAGTCTTATAGTGTACCCATGTTTACTGTACAGATACATATATAGTTTAAACAAGTAAATCTGTTTTTAAAATAGTTTGCAAATACAGAAAGAAAATAAAAACAAAAGTCTCAAACATAAATTCTCAAATGAAAATGAGTCAAAATTAGTGGCAAATGTCTATCAATCTTACCCCTTTGGAAAAAAAAGGAACTGGTAACTAGAATTTCCTGTGACATCTGGCTTTGATGTTTTTGGAAGTTGCAATTGAAGTTTTGCAGGTATTAATAATCAAATAATTTTAGAATTGACTGGAAAAAAAAAGAAAGTCTCTATCATCTATCTTTTTTTTTCTTCAGAAAATGCATCCCAGTGTTCAACATGTATGCCACGTCTCATGTTCCGTGAAACATCAAGAAGTGTAGGATTCTTTACAGTAACCAACTCAATTGGTATCACATGTAAAAATACTGACCCAGTTCAAGACCTAATGGAATGTTCTGGATATTGTTCCTCACATGCACAATACACAGCTATCATGCAAGGATTTAACAACAAATGTAACTGTTGTCAGCCAACAACTACATCAGACAAAACAGTAAAACTTACATGTACTGATGGTACCACAATGAACAAAACATACAAAGTACCAGATACCTGTGGTTGTCAGGCATGCTCGGCTGGTCGGTGAACTAGAAACAAAAAAAAAGGAACTTGGTAATCTCACGGATAACTAATCTTGCTCACGTTAAAGGACATGTTATTTTTGTTAATTATTTTGGTTTTTTTTTCTTGTTAATTGTCAATATATATTGTTTAATAATTAATAAATTTATGCATCCCAAAGTTTGGGTTTTCTTCTGACTGACACTTACTACATGATTTATGATTTCGAAATTTTATGTTTGTGATGCTTAAATCTCAATCATGCTCCAGTGATTTTGCTTTTATTGCATTGTTTGATTCTTGCATCTTAGTGTTTCGAAATTAGCATTCCCTCCCCTAGTCATGCTACAGTGACTTGTTAAAATTGCATTGTAAAATATGTCAAGTTTTATCATTTTGTTGGTTAAACGTGAATTGTGTATGAGAGGCAGTGATGTTTTATAGCAACACATATCAGTTTCAGATCCCTCTCTAATATAAATAGGGGGCCTCGGTGGCCAAGTGGTCTAAGTAGTCGAAATACTGTATCACTAGCCAGTCAATACTGAGGTGAGTTCGAATCCCGCACGGGGCAGGTGCACTCGACTCCAATCTTAATTGACTAAGATTGTCAGTTTTCCTATCGAAGGTCTGTGTTTTTTTCAGGGCACTTCGGCTTCCTCCATCAATAAAAACTGACTGCCACGAAATAGCACAATAGTGTTGAAAGTGGCATTAAACACCGATCAATCAATCAATCAATGAAACTAATATAAATAGCATGCTCTCCTTTAGTGTGGGAGTTTAGTAGTTTGATCCAACATCAAACATCAACATCAAGTCTTTCAAATTGGTATTTGTTGCTCTCCCCAATGCAGCTGGCATTTAGGACTAAGTATAAATGAATACTGGGTATGATTCTTAATAATGTGTCAGAGTAGGTCAACTTTCACATTATGAGCTGATTTTGTGCTAACGAGGTGAACTAACATGGTGGGTATGTTTACATTGAATCCTATGAAAAGTGACATGTTTTTTGGCAAGTCAGAAACTATTTTAGATGCAAGAAGTCTTAAATTGATCGTATCATTTTCTGTTTTCCAATTTTAAACCTTAAATCTGTTAAAATTACTTTCTGAAATACTAATAAATGTTTCAAATATTTTTGGATATTTTACACTCATTTACATTTGGAAAAATAAGTAATGCTGCTGAACCAAGATGGCGTCAACTATTATACAGTTTCTACAGAATCTCAGTAGTTGAGAGTCAATATGCAATATGCATATAATCTAGATGAAGATTACTTGCTCAGAAAGGTGTCATCCTTACAGTCAAACATGTATTAAGAGATTACCCTTTGGCTAATATAATAGAAACTGGTCACAGAAAAAAGGTCTCTTCAAAGTTTCAGTTTATCTATGGTGGGACTAGAGAAAAGTGACCTCTTAATAAAGGTGACTGCTTGAGCTGGTTTGTCTGTTCATGTAAATGTACATAACAGTACAACTCTCAAAACACAAATAAAATGTAACAATATATTACAGAAGGCACAATTTTTTCAAACAGTATACAAAGCACAGCCCGTACGAAATAAGGCATACCGGTATTATGCCTGGAAAACTGGTAACGTGTACAAATCCAGCAATTACAGGCATAGAAAAAAGTGGTAAACCTGGCATAAATTTTTCTAAGGGCGTAAAACTGTTGGAAGGGCGTAAATTTTGATACCTAGAATGCTTTGTTGCAAAGAATCATGGGAATGTTTTTCAAATTTGGCTCTCTGGTATTAGCTTGCAAGAGTTGGACATATGGTAGCTTGATAATATTCAGTTGAAGTTTGCTTTTTTGTGCTTTTTGGAAGAATTTGAAATTGGAATTATGGATTCAAATTGATGGATGAGAAATGAAAGGAAAGAATGGGTAATGATAATTCTGTGAGTTTTTAAAAATGACTAGTATTTTAGTCATTTTATATAATGCCTATCAATTGATGATAGGCATTTAGTAAATTGCCTAAAAATTCAGTCATTTTACAAAATGTCTAAATTAGAAAATACCTGTAACATATATGTTTCTTTTGTAAGTACGTTGGATACTGTGTTGTCTTATTGTTTGTGGTTTGAATTCTGTATTTTCGGTACATTTCGCATATGTCTTATTTGTCAGTATAGTCGAGTTTACATTCCCATTTTCCATAGATAAAGTATTGTGTTAGTCCAAATAATTATGATGTCATCACAGCATTAATTTAAAATGGCCTTTCAAGACTGTCATAATCATGATAATTATTTGGACTAGTATTGTGAAAATAATTGTGAATTTTTGGATCTCGTTCCATATAATTGTATGAATTTCAAGATTATATATACGTCACATTTGTGTCGTTGATCCATTCATGTGACACGCAGTTTGTGGTGTCCTGTGCTGTCGTTAATGTGAGATGTCCGTTGTTATTCGGCGGTTTACATGTTGTAATGTACTATTATATCATTTATTTATGCATTTCTCTGTGGTAAGTGTTCTTGCGTTTGTTTGTACTGTACTGTCACGTAATGTTGTCATTTTAGCGATATTTTTTAACATTGCCATATAAGAGGGAGGTTTGGCTAGCCATAAAACCAACCCACCATTAATATTTTTCTGAAAATGTCCTTACTAAGTCAGGAATATGGCAGTTGTTATCAAATAGTCAGTTTCTATGTATGTTGGCATTTGTTTTTGTTGCAGTTCCGTGTTTCTGTTGTTCCGTTGTTTTCCTCTTATAGTTGATGTGTTTCCCTCGGTTTTAGTTTTTATCCGGATTTGTTTTCTTTTAATCGATTTATGACTTTTGAACAGCGGTATACTACTATTGCTTTCATTTATATACTTGTTGTACTGCAAATAAATTCATCATAGATAATTAAGATAGAATAAAATTATTACAAAAATGCAGAAATAATTTATGAAGGTTTTATCTCTTCAATTTTTTCATGAGTGTTGAAATAGTTCATTCTAGCATTCTATAAAAAAATGATATAACTTAAATAATGTAGTTTGGAATTTTCATTAACAGAAAAGACCCAAACTCATGCAAGAAATGAAAAGCAAAAATAATTAATGCTATACAGAGACTTTTAACGCGAATTATGACGATCAGGACAAAAGGTGTAGCTTTTGCAAACAAAAAATGAGTTAGGGAGCTACCATTTGATTTTTAGGGGGGGGGGGGCTAGGATGAAATTTGAAAAAAAGGCAGGACAGGAGTTTTGAGTAGAAAAAAAGGCAGGATGAGCAACTTGGCAAAAAAAAAGGCAGTATGACATTTTATGTAAAAAAAGTCAGGATAAACTAATAAAAAAAAAAAAGGCAGGACCGAATAGAGTGAAAAATAAAAAGGCAGGACAGAGATTACAACTTAAAAAAAATGCAGGACAAAATTTTTCATAAGAAACACCTTATTCCCACGCACTAGGAACCAGGTTTCACAACACAATCTATCTGTGAATTCATATAGAGAATCTCAGAAAGACACAATCAGGAATAGGAATGATTTTAACTACCCACACAATACACCTAATAGAAAGAACAGTGATCGTAGTGACAGACGACGAATCTCTGAGGCTCCAGATGCTAACCCCTACCAAAGGTCACCCAACATGTACTATGACAGAAAGCCAGAACACACTTATAATATGGGTTTTGATCATCAGACTTTAGCCGCTAGTATCGCATCGGCAGTAGCAAGTGTTTTTCACCATTATGGATCTTAGGAAAATAAGCTTAATGTTGACTATAAGATAACTCTTACTAATTAAAATATGTATTTTGATATATTAAGAACTGATCATACATTTTGATTATTATTATTTCCATAAACTTCTTGTAGAAGTTATATTTTGTTGGTATTTTCTTTTAGCATGTAGAGAAAGGATTAGCCAAGGATGGCAAAAGAAAATATTGTAATACTTAGAATTAATTATAGTTCTGGAAATATTAAGTAATTTTCCAGCTTGTATCCTAGTAGAAGGCGAGCACTTTTATTTTATTTCTTCTAGAATATAGTTAAGCAAATACTTAAAGCAAGTAAAGTTTCGGCCTTGAAATTTATACAAATACTAATAGTAACTTTTTATTTTATTTTATTTTTTATTTTAATTTCTCTTTCTATCTGTTCTGCAATTCACCAACCCCTGTGCAATTTGAAATGTTAATTCAAAATTTAGATTTTAATCATGTGTATTAAAGTATCAAAGCAATTATCTATCAGCTCTTGGAATGTTAATGGAATGTTTAAAAGAATAAGTGGTAACAGAGTTTGTAAACTAGATGATAATATTATTTTTCAAATTATGACTGCAGATATTGTTTGTTTTTCAGAAACACATATCCCCTCCAAAGAGATTTTAAACTATGATGGTTATACATTTTTTGTAAACTGTAGGTCCTCTGATTCAAATAAGGTTAGAGGCGGTTTAGCTACTTTTTTTAAGAAGGAAATATTATCAGGTGTAAAGTTGATGGATAAATCCATAGATGATATAATGTGGTTCAAACTAGACAAGAATTTTTTCAGTTTTGATAGAAATGTATATTTATGTTTCCTATATATTCCCCCTTCCAACTCATCTTACACGTTAAGAACAAATTTTGATAAACAAATTTTTGAGAAACTTGAAACAGATATTGCTAAATATAGTATATCAGGGGACGTTTTCCTCATGGGAGATCTAAATGCACATATTAACTGTAAAGAGTTAGATTTCATAACAAATGAAGTAGATGACAGTTTAGACAACTTTCTTCCCACTAATTATGTCGCAGATAGTGTATGCAAATTTAGAAATACTCAAGTACACCAAAAAACTAATAACTATGGAAAACTTACACTTGACTTATGCACAGAATCTCAATTAAGAATCCTTAACGGAAGAACACTTGGTGATTCGAAAGGTAAAATCACTTTCTATAATCATAATGGTGTGTCTATTGTAACCCGAATAATTCAGTCGTTATATTCCACTGCTCTACGATGGCTACATTAACGCCTGAAAGACTTGTCAATAAAAAATCGTCAAATAATCATTCGGAATTAGCTCGGGATTTACATATCTCGATAACATTGAGCTATTAGCTGATTGGCTCTCTCTCTCACAGAGAGCACCAATCAAAATCCTGGATTCGTGACGCGTTTTTTATTGTATAAAGAATTCAGGCCC